CCAACAATCAACATTTAATTTGTATGACTTTTTCATATTAATAAATAATATGTATATATTTGTCGCTACAAGAAATAAAACAAACATTTGTATGATTGTATTTAGCTTTTAGTCTATTTCACGCAGCCTTCTTCTATCTTCGTGAAATAATTCACCCCCTCCTGTCACGTCCCTGTTACTTTGTCACGCGATATTTGTGCGGAATGTTTTGAAAGACTGTGAGCAAAATTTTACATGGTGATAAAATGGCGTATTTCTTATATTTTGTTTAGATTTTTTAGTTTCCTACCGTTATAAAGGGTTAAATTTATTATTAGTGGAATGGAAATGGCTTGGATGGAAGAGTAATAAGGCTGAATTGTTAACAAGCGACATGGGATGACAAAATGGCGCCGAATTTGGACAAAGTTGTGGATTTCCCTTGTTGATGGTTAAACAGGTATGATCTACTTGAAACCAAGTTGAAACTTGTTTAAAATGTTCTTGATACCATTATGTCTGAGATGATTTACATTTTTTGTAGGATGTCGACGAGATCGCCGATAAACAACGGAGTAAAGTGGAGAACTTGGCCAAATACGTCTATTTGCAGAAGGTAGGCACATTTCAAATTATTATTTCGGTCAGAAAATATTAACTATTTTACACCAAACCAGTGATAATATATTTAAATGAGTACCAATTATGTTTCTATCAAGAAGATTTAGGGAAAAAGGTAATGTAAGTCCACTGCTGTTTATCTGAAGTTGCAAGCCACAAATTGACGTTTAACTATGATTATTGCATGGTCATTTTCTTGTGAAATATTAGTGCTAGGCATTTCACACTTACCAATGACCACTCCAAAAGTACCATCTCTGAACCATATAAGCACCTCAGAATAGCCAAAGCTTTTATGGTTTGGTAGATAGCAGTATGGCGAAAGCGTCATTTTTGGGTGTGGTCAGTTTCAGACGTTTCGCCCCGGATTGGGGTTCGGGCAGCGTTACCATGTTGACCGTCATGGTCAACTTACCCTAAAACAGTTGAGATTATCTGTCCTAAATGAAATGCATACAAACTCATATACAGGTCCTAGACTAGAAGGAAAAAGTATGATTTTTACGCTTCTCTAAATTCTTGATTTTCGTATTTTGATCTTTGCTTCTGGTGATTTGCTGGCGATTATGGCTGAAGAACTACAAGTGAAGATGCAAACAACGGTTTGCCAAGCACCCGAAGAAACGCTCCAGGCTATGGCAAAGGATTTTAAACTTGATATTTCCGAACAAAGGAAAAGTACAATTGTTTGCATGATTTTTAACCACATTGATAAAGAATTGATGGACAAAAACGAGGAACAACGAATGTTATTCTTGATAGAATTTCCCTCACGTTACTTTAAGAGCACAAAAGAAAAAGATGTTTCAGAATCAGTACCCCTGTAAAGCAAAACGCAGGACAAAGCACATTACAAGGTATGTTAGAATCTACAAGTGTATTTCGTCGACAATTCAAAATTGTGGGACAAATTGGACAGCCAAATGAAAAAGACAAGTTGAGTTTCACATCCTTGACAAGACAAATTGACACTGGGGTTAAACAGGGGTACACAGAACAGGAAATTGTGGACGGTGTTATTCGTGCAATTAATGGTGGAATGGTTCTTCGAAGTTATGTAGAAACTTACAAGGATCTATCTCTAGAGCGGTTACGAAAAATTCTTCGAAACCATTATGATGTAAAAAGTGCAACTGAGCTATATCAAAGTCTTGCATCAATATGTCAAGGGTCAAAAGAAACACCACAAGAATTCCTTATGCGTGCCTTGGATTTACGCCAGAAAATCCTGTTTTCAAGCACTCAATATCAAAGTGAGGACACTTTGGCTTATGAAAATGATCATATTCAAAAGCTATTTCTACGTACTGTTGAAACTGGCCTTCAAGATGCAAATGTTAGAGTAAGGGTTAGGGGGTACCTGAGAAACCCCACAATATCAGATGAGGAGCTTATTTTGCAAGTGAATAATGCAGTGTCGACACAGAATGAACCGGTAAGAAAACTAAGAGACCAGAACCGCCCAAAGCCTGCCCAGAATCGTGGAAAGAATACTTTAAACTCCAGGAGGCTGCCTCTCCGGGGCCAGAAGTAGCCGAAAGAAGTTTGCGGTCCCAAAGATGTAGTTATTGTGGCAAGGACGATGATAAAATGACATTGTACTGTTGTGCACAATGCAAATGTATAGTTTATTGTTCAAAACATTGCCAGAAAAGACACTGGAATGATCATAGGAACAATTGTAAAACTCTTCGGGACCTGACATGGGCATGTCAAAACGAAACACGTAGCAATAATAAGACATTTACCAGTCACCTAACTCCTAGTGAGCATGCAAAGATTGCTAAGCTAGTAGGAAGACGGTGCACTGTAAAGTGTTCTCTAAATGAATTTGAGTCAACAGTATTATGGGATACGGGTGCACAAGTATCTATTGTGTCCAAGGAAATGATAGAAAAACACTTTCCTAAAAATGTTATAAAGAACATTTCAGAACTTATTAATGGTGAATTGGATTTAACAGCAGCTAATGGTACACGAATTGCGTATAGTGGTTGGACTGAGATAGAAGTTAGATTGATTTCATCAAAAGAAAAAGATCCATCGGTTATGGTTCCTTTCTTAGTAACAAACGACAGTTTAGAATATCCCATTCTTGGATACAATGTTATTGAAGAACTAATCAAGCCGATGAATACATCTGATATTCAGTCAGCACATATTGCTACAGTACAAGCTAGTTTTCAAGGTTTTGATGAGAAGGTGTTACTCGAATTGGTTAGACTGATACAGACAGCAAGAGCAAATGAACTATGCACGATTAAGAGCCCAAAGAAAGACTTTGTTATTCCGGCAAAGAAAACATTTAAAGTTAACTGTCGAGCGAATACTGGACCGGTAGAAAAAACTACACTTGTATTGTTTGAACCGGACGAATTAACGCCCTGTCCAGACGGTTTATCGGTGCATGAAACGGTAACAACAGTGAAACAAGGCTCAACATCTCAAGTAAAGATAGATGTGACTAATACAACTAATCATGACATTGTCGTGCGTAAACACACAGTATTAGGAAGTCTTCAGTTAATTAAATCGATTACACCTGTAGAAGTGAAGTTGGCAGAAAAGTCAAGCAAAGAGAAAGAACGAACAGTAACAGCCACACAATCCCAAGTGAATGCAATGGCGAAAGAAACTCGAGAAAGAGACAATACAACTGATGACCAGTTTTTACCTGAAGTTGACCTTAGTGGATTAACAGAACGTCAACGTCAAGTAGTTACTAACATGTTGAAGGACGAATGTCACTCTTTTGCAAGAAATGACGAGGATATCGGTTATATCAAAGATCTAGAACTAGAAATAAATTTGACAACAAACGAGCCAGTGCAAAAGAACTATGTATCGGTACCAAGACCTCTCTACCCCAAAGTAAAACAGTACATTGAAGATTTGTTAAATAACGAGTTTATAAGAGAGTCAAAATCAGCTTATTCATCCCCAGTAGTATGTATTCGCAAAAAGGATGGAACTCTGC